ACAGTCTTGTCGTACAAACCATCATAGGTGGTTCCGACTCTTAGGCGATTTATTGCATAGCTATCATGAGTGCGTAGCATTGAGTATAGCTATATTACACCCAGTCTTGTCATACAAACCTTTTTAGTGGTTTCGACTTGTGTGCAGTGTAGTGCCGTATAGGTCATTTGTAGTGACTCCGGCTAGATTGACTAATGAGCTATAAATTCAGTTGTACAGACTTCTGCAAGGGTTCCGGCTAATATATTATTTTCCATGAATATATTTTTACCTGAGTTACTTATTCTGTTTTATATTTGGCATGGTATACTTATGATTATGAATATGTGAAGCATGAATTGTGTGTGTGTATATATATATATATATAGATGTATATATTTATATTCTATTTCTGGGAAAATTTATACATGTTTTACGGCGAGGGGTTAGAGCATTTTAATGATGAAATGGTTTTGAAAAACATTTGTTTTTGCCCACTCACATTTTCTGTTTTTGCGCCCCTACAAGTTTTAGGTAGACTTGCAGTTGGTGGCATTAAGGATCTCGGCAGTTCTGACAGAATAAAATATTTGTAGGATATATTTTGGTACTATATAACTAGTACTTGTCATACTGGACTGCACCTAGACTTTCTATGCTCTGATTATGAGTATTTACACTTGTATTTCACTCTTAGCAATTCCTGTTTATTAGTGCACATTAGTAGCTTTCGGTTTTTATTTATTCGTATATTTCTTATCTTTATTACTTCTGCACTGTGCACATAGCTACGTCACCCTCACGTGACGGCCAGCATGCTTCGATCTCAGTCGGGGTGTGTCATAAACGGTTACAATAAAAAATTCAAACATTTTGATTTAATAAATGGATAAAAACTATTTAAAAATAAGAAATAATAAATGGCAAAAGAATGTATCCATAGTGTTAAAAAAATTGGACATTTCACATATAACAAAGTGGTACATTAATAAAGAAGAATTGGTACATTATAAATAAATTAGGGTACAGATAAAAGATTAAAAAATTATGAGTACAAATGAATTTTTTTAAAATATAGGTGCTAAAAGAAATTAATACATGGGTACAAAATAAAACTAAAAAGAAAATACTACAAATTTAAAAAAAAAATGTTGCAAATTAAAAGTGGGTACAAACTAAAAATATAAATATATGATACAAAGTTTAGGCATAAAACATAAATATACCATATGTAATTTTTTTATCATTGATTAAAGGGTAAAAGACTGTTTACTACCCTTATGTTTTGTGGTTTTCAACATTTAGTACATCAAGTTTTTTTCGTCTCAGATTCATACCTAAAGTGTAAATTTTGAGACAGTCTCATATATCTGTTAGTCAAACTGTTAAATCTGCCGTTAACTGTGACGTGGCGCCATGATTGGGCGCCACGTGTCATCCACTTTTTTTTTCTTTTCTTCTTTCTTCTTCTTCCTTCTTATGCAACTTTTTTTTCTTCCTCCTTCTCCTTCTTCCTTCCTCCTTCTTCCTTCCCCTTCTTCTCCTTCTTCCTTCTTCTTCCTTCTTCCTTCTCCTTCTTCTTCTTCTTACTCCGAGTTGGGGAATTTTTTTTTTCTTTTTTCTTCTTTCTTCTTCTTCCTCCTTCTTCCTCTTTCTTCTTCTTCTTCTTCCTCCGACTGCAACTTTTTTTTTTTTTGTCTTCTTCCTTCCTCCTTCTTCCTTCCCCTTCTTCTCCTTCTTCCTCATTCTTCCTTCTTCTTCCTCCTCGTTCTTCCTTCTTCTTCCTTCTTCTTCTTCCTCCAAATCTGGGGAAGATGAAGGTTTTTTTTTTTCTTCCTCCTTCTTCTCCTTCTTCTCCTTCCTTCCTCCTTCCTTCTTACTCCGAGTTGGGGAATTTTTTTTTTCTTTTTTCTTCTTTCTTCTTCTTCCTCCTTCTTCCTCTTTCTTCTTCTTCTTCTTCCTCCGACTGCAACTTTTTTTTTTTTTTGTCTTCTTCCTTCTCCTTCTTCATTCCTCATTCTTCCTTCCCCTTCTTCTCCTTCTTCCTCCTTCTTCCTTCTTCTTCCTTCTTCTTCTTCCTCCAAATCTGGGGAAGATGAAGGTTTTTTTTTTCTTCCTCCTTCTTCTCCTTCTTCTCATTCCTTCCTCCTTCCTTCCCCTTCTTTTTTTTCTTCATTCTTCTTCCTTCGAATCTGGGGAAGATGAAGGTTTTTTTTTCTTCTTCTTCCTCCTCCTTCCTCCTTCTTCTTCTTCTTTTTCCTCCGACTGCAACTTTTTTTTTTTCTTCCTTCTTCTTCATCTTCCTCAAAAAAAAAAAAAAAAACCTTCATCTTCCCCAAATTTGAGGAAGAAGAAGGAAGAAGGGGAAGGAAGAAGGAGGAAGAAAAAAAAAAAAAAAGGTTGTAGTCGGAGGAAGAAGAAGAAAGAAGAAAAAAAAAAAAAAACTTCCCCAGATTCGGAGGAAGAAGGAGAAGGAGAAGGAAGAAGAAGGAAGAAGGAGAAGAAAGGGAAGGAAGAAGGAGGAAGGAGGAAGGAAGGAGAAGGAGGAAGAAAAAAAATTGCAAAAGAAAGAAGAAAAGAAGAAAAAAGAAAAGAAAAAAAAAACGTGGATGACACGTGGCGCCCAGTCATAGCGCCACGTCACAATTAACGGTAAATTTAACAGTTTGACTAACGGATGTATGAGACTGTCCCAAAATTTACACTTTAGGTATGAATCTGAGACGAAAAAACTTGATGTACTAAATGTTGAAAACCACAAAACATGAGGGTAGTAAACAGTCTTTTACCCTTGATTAAATATACAATGTCACGTGACGGTATACACATTGGTACAAACACAAATAAAAGTTTAAAACATTGGGCACAAAAAGAAACTAATATATGGGTACAAATTAAAAATGAAAATAAAATTGGTACAAATTAAAAAATATTTGCAAATTAAAAATAGGTACAAACTAAAAATAAAAATATATGACAAAAAATTTAGCCATAAATATAAATATACTAATTGTAACATTTTTAACACTAAAGAAATATATTTAAAAATAAAAATATTTTATTATTCAAATAATTAATGATGTTATTAATACCCAATGACCTTGATTAAAAATTGAAAATGAATAGGATTTTAATCAATGGAGTAACAAAAAGAATGATATGAACCTAATTTTCCTCTATGATTATCCTACTGTTAGTTAAGACTTAATCTGATAGCTAATTAATTATTATTAATTTTCCTTTATAAGAAATTATTATTACTTTTTGTAACTTATATACAAAATAACAATTAAATGCACAATAATCAATCAAGCCTTATATGGTGCAAATTTCAAAAGTTAATCAAGTAAGAAAACTCTCAATGGTTCTCCTTCTCCAGTTTTTGTTCACCATTGCAGGCCAAGGAAGAGCATCCCCACGTAGGCAATCCTTCATATTGGATTTTCAGAGATGGAACAACTATGGATCGAAATTTCTTTTGCAGTAGATGAGCCTGGAAGATCTTTTCCAGTAAGGTTACTAGAGTTCATGCCAATACAAGGAAGCAAGGGATGAGAAGGTTCAAATGGTTGTGGCATGGTTTGGTTCCAGTAAGGTTGCTAGACGAGTCCGGAAAGATAAACATCAGAACAAGTGATTTAAGTGATGCCATTTTGATTACACAATTAAATGACATTCCTATCAAATGCAGAATTCACTACCCCAGAAACGCCTCAAAGGAATACAAATCTCATACGATTTTCCAGAATTCAGAAGACGCAGTCTTAAGATTCATGAATGAGCCCATTTAATTAGCTTACCAGATACAAGAGCTGGATTCAGGAAATTTTGGAGATATTAAGAGAAGGCGCAAACAAACAGAACAGGAAGCTACAAGAACGTAATTTCAAAATGGCAGCCTAATGTGACTAACTGATCAGGCAACCAAATCTCAAATGACCAAAATTGCTGGATATTCTCATAGGAAAGCAAAAGAAAAGAAAGAAATGGAAAGTTAATGGGATTGGGAGAGAGAATCAGAGTCATAATTAAAAAAAATGTTTCATATTTTTATTTCTAATGTATGTTTTTATTTAAAAATTGTTAAACCTTCCCACATCGGTGGGGTGAAGAAAACTAAAGAAGTTTAAATAGTATTACCCCACTCTAACTAATACCGAGGCCTTTTGATAAAACCCCACACCTGAGGATTGTGCAGGTGGTTAAGTGGGGACAGTATCGGTCTTGTTAGAGTGGGACGGGCCCGGCGATCCAACAATTCCAACATGGTATCAGAGTCCACGGTTGCGGGCCCGTGCAAGCCAACGAGCTTGTGTGCAAGCCAATGAGCTTGTCACCACCCGGAAGGAAACAAGTCTAAACTCTTAATATAGAAACGACCGCTGAGTTCCAATTGAAAACAAGTGGGCCCAACGTGAGCCGACCTCTGAGTTTCAATTACTGATGTGGATCTCCACGTGTGAACCACTAAATGAGGTTACACGTGAGGGGGAGTGTTAAACCTTCCCACATCGGTGGGGTGAAGAAAACTAAAGAAGTTTAAATAGTATTACCCCACTCTAACTAATACCGAGGCCTTTTGATAAAACCCCACACCTGAGGATTGTGCAGGTGGTTAAGTGGGGACAGTATCGGTCTTGTTAGAGTGGGACGGGCCCGGCGATCCAACAATTCCAACAAAAATATCAAATTAATTGTCTTATAAGGTTAAATCTTAACCATTAATAATAGGATAATTTAACGGCTTAAAACTTGTGTCAAATCTTGTGTAAAACTGTGTTCTAAATTTGTTATTATGTAAAGCCAATTCACTCAATGCATTTTACATTGAATTGTAAATCTAAAGAATATTAACAATATAAAATAAGAAAAAAATAAATTCGTATAGAAGTAGATCGGCCCAATAATTTTACGGGCTCAATTTGATCAAGAATATTTAGCAAGTACAGAATTGGTCCAAGAATTTAGTAAAAAGGAAATAAGTGAATGAATGAAATTATGAAATGAGGTGATAAGAGTAACTAGTCAATGGCGCGAGCTCTCCTCATTCTGCTGGCCCATGATCCTTCCTTTTGCGACCTTCTCTTCAACTCAAGAATTTGTTGACTCCATCTGTTTTGTGCACCTTGATTATTTCTGACAGAATTATCCATACTGTATGTGAAGGTGCTCCTCCTACTACAACTATTGTTACAATAATCTTTCAAACCCAACTCGTAATCGTATTCATCACGCAACAGAGGATCTGATAGCGTCTTGTAAGCCTCGTTCAGTTGCACAAATCGCTCGGTTAAAATATTGGAATTTTGTTGATCATGACATACATCTGGATGATAGCGAAGCGCCATGCTTCTGTAAGCTCGCTTGATCTCGTCTTTGCTCGTTTTAGTATTCGGACTCAAGCTAAGTAGCTTGTAGAAATTGGTATGACTAGTACTACCGCCCTCGTAACAATTCGTGGGTCTGCATGAAATTTTAGTGGCTTTGCGTGCATGACAATTTAGAAAAGAAGGTTTAGGCTTAGCAGCTGCAGCACTGGTACTAGGGTTTATGCAGCTTGAAGAAGTCAGCAGAGAGGTGTTCATGGCTATGTGAATGTTCTGCAAAATGCATGGAAAAGAGTTATGCGGGTTGAGGCTAATATATACCAAGGAACATATCCCATCTTTGTAAATATTAAATTATATATCATAATCCAACCATTAAGAAAGGGCTAAGGAAGGTGTTAAAGAAAGACAAGGTTAGGGAAAGAAGGAAATAAATTACTACTAGGCAGCGGTGACTTCTAAACACAACGCGTTTTCTCCATAATAACCATCGAACTACTTGGTTAGCGTTGAGATTACGATGATGATATAAATTAGTTTACTTGGTTAGCGTTGAATCATAAACTATCGTCTTGTCTTGCACAATGTTTTCCCTGCATTTGGAGAAATATTTGTATTCACGAATACACCACTATGGTAGAGTTCCGTATTGTAATATAAAACTATGTGTTAGTTTATTTTTATGTACTCTTATATTATTAGCACATCATTATGACAGTGTACTCGTAATATATAAGTGTTAAAGAATAGAGTTTTATATTGAAAATATAGCAAAGTAATATATAGTTTATATGTTAGACGTCCACTTCTAACATCACTGAGTACTTTTGTAATCACCTATTAACATGTGATTAAATTTGGACAATATCAATGATATTAGTGGTGAACCATGTGGATTAAAAAGGTTTGATAATAAGTTGTTATACTGATTGAAAAGCAACTTATATGAAACAGATTTATTGTCACGTGGCCTCCCGATTAATAATATATCATGTGGAGAAAAATTTACATTTAACAATATATTAATGGATAGAGAATGTTACAAGTAAAATCGTTCCCTATAAATCTTTCTCATAATTTTAATAAGAAAAAGTCCATGGCCTACTGTACTGACCAAAAAGAAACGCTCGGCCGAAAGCAAAATACAACGGAAGCTGCTTTGGTTTCTACGAAAAGAGAAAAAAGAATGTTTACTTTGAGGGGAACTTTTTGGTTTTCTAAAGTCCTCGCGCATGGAAAAGATTCCTCACCGGATTATCTTTTGGGAATTTTAGAAATTCTGTGATCGTAATTGTTCATCATACATAGTTAGAAATTATTTTAAAATTTAAAATGTAAAAATAAATATAAATTATACTTAATAACAACTGATTGCATGATGTATGATAAACGATCACGATCACAAAACTCTTAAATCCCTAAAAAATGATCCAGCAAAGATCCTTTCTCGAGCATAGCCGACTTGTATTATTGATGATAACAATGTTTTACTGTAGTAATATGTTGGTGTCCTTTCCTTTTCTTTCACAACTTCTAACTGGGGAATCAGGTAGCCGACGAGTTTGCTAAACTTATCGTTGAGGATGCATATCTTAAGGCAGAGAATAAGGGGACTGTATATGAGCCAATTAACGATGCAGCACTGAAACAAATGTCTTTAATCTATTGTTAATTAGGATAAAAATGATTGATATATTCTTAATATTGTATTTTTTTTTGGGAGTTTTAATGAAAAGCCCGCGGTACTGTTCATTTTAACAAAAAATCACATTTTTACACTAAAAAGTCAAACCTGATATTATTCATTTTACCCTTTATTTTGTCCTTATCATTAAAACTCAAAGTTTTCAAGCCCTTTTCATTAGTTTTCTTTTTTTTTTTGATAAATCTCCAAATATTGTATTAACAAAAAAATCACATTTTTACACTAAAAAGTCAAACCTGATATTATTCATTTTACCCTTTATTTTGTCCTTATCATTAAAACTCAAAGTTTTCAAGCCCTTTTCATTAGTTTTCCTTTTTTTTTTTGATAAATCTCCAAATATTGTAAATTTTGATTTAGAATAAAGGGTAAAAGACTGGTTACTACATTCATGCTTCGTGGTTTTCAACATTTAGTACATCAAGTTTTTTTCGTCTCAGATTCATACCTAAAGTGTAAATTTTGGAACAGTCTTATACATCCGTTAGTCAAACTGTTAAATCTGCCGTTAATTGTGACGTGGTGCTCATGTGAATAATGACTGGGCGCCACATGTCATCCACGTTTTGTTTTTTTTTTCTTTTTTCTTCCTTCTTCTTCCTCCGACTGCAACTTTTTTTTTCTTATGAGTCATCCACGTTTTGTCATCCACGTATTGTAATTCGCAGTAAATATATATCAAATTACTCCAATGGACACAAGTCATTCTTACAAGTGAACCACTTAAATCTTGTTGTTTTCGTATCCGTTTGGTCCCTAAAACCCCCAATGGTTACTATACTGGTCTGTTAACCTCTCAGTTTTGAGTGTTTACGATGTACAAGTGGTTAAGTTAGAAACAATATATATAATATTTATATTGATTAGTAGTGACCTATTATACCGCTTATAAAATCTCCACAATGAAAAGTTTACTTTTAAGTAAAATAATGATATCGATATTGATTAGTAGTGCTCGTTAGACTGTTACAAGTCCGGCCATGTTGATCCTACAAATATCCTCTTCCTTCATTATCAGATTGAGCTCCTCTCTCGCTTTTGTCGGCCTTCTCGAATAAGTTTCTTTTGACAAAAGAAACTCAAGACCAAATTTGACTCTAGGCCCATAGTGGCTCCACCAGTGGCCTAGTTTAGAATTAGTGTTTATGTGGTATCTGTCATCTAATAAAATTTCTATTTGAATGCAGCCCCTCTTTTCCACCCCAGCCGGCAGACCCCTCCCCCTTTCAAACCTTACCGCTGCCCCTCCCTCCCCACCCTTTCTGCACAGCATATATCCTCATTCAGTCATCCTCTACTTCTTACTACTTTAGAATCTAGTCGCCAGCTTTGAGGCTTTGGTATTCACACTATCTTTGCCACCGTCAATGCTAAAATGCATGCGTAAAAATCACTTCCAATTCATTTGTTAATTAATGTTATTTGAATGCACAATATCCCAAAGCAGATTTGGAAGTGTGTTTGGAAGCTTGAGGTTCGGCCAAAAATAAGATCTTTTATGTGGAAGACCTTACAAGAGGCAGTGGCCACGAAAGTAAATTTGTTTATGCGTCGATCCTCTTCTTCAACAATCTGCCCTATTTGCAATAGGTATGAGGAATCATTGGTACATCTTTTTCTCCAATGTTCGTGGGTAGAGGAGGTATGGCTTGGGGGAAGGTTGACAAGAGGCTTGCGAAGGGGAGTGGTCACAACTTGGGCTAATTGGTTGGGTGATATTGTTGGTTCGGTAAATGGGCAGACAAGTGTGAGGAACAACATGCTTTCATATGTTGCTACAACATGTTGGTATATATGGAAGGCAAGATGCAATTTTCTCTTCAATCAACAACCTATCTTTCCTCGACAGATCATTGCAGTTCTCACCCATTCTGTGGCTGCCTTCAAGGAATCTACTCAGGCTACTGTAATTAGTTTGCCAATTTTTGTCAATGGATCGGCTTCTGATGTCCATTGGTCTCCACCTTGTGTGGGTTTTATCAAAATTAATGTGGATGCAAGCTGGTTAAGGAGTGGGGGTTCGAGTTTTGTGGGTGTTGTGGCTCAGGACGATGCGGGCAGGTTTGTGGCAGCGAACAGGATGAGGGTCACAGCCTCTTCTGTGGCTGTGGCAGAAGCTTTGGCAGTGCTGCATGGGTGTGAGTTTGGAAGAAACATGGGATGGAATTTTGTCATCGTGGAATCTGACTCTCAGGAATCCATATCCTGTATTCGAGACTTGGATACGATGGGCAGTTAGGAAGCTTTCCCAATTTTAGCGCGATGCAAAAGAACGGGGGAGGCTTTTAATGACTGCCGCTGGTCTTGGGTTCCAAGATCGGCCAATATGGCTGCGGATCTTCTGGCGTCGCGGCAAAGTAGGGAGGTATGTGATAATATTTGGGTCAACAGACCCCCATCCTCCCTTGTTCATGTTCTGTGTAATGATGGTCTCCCTTGTCCCCATTAATTTCTTCCTGGCAGTATGAGGAGTGACATTTTTAGCATTTGGTGCGATTTCGTCTTTACCTCTTTGTACTGCTTTTCCTTAGTTGTTGCTGCTTGCTTTTGCCTTGGGGTAGGCTTCTTTGTATCTTTGGCATCTTTGCCCGGTTGTTATTTAATCCAGTTCGCCAAAAAAAAAATATATCAGAGGGCCCTTTACCACATTCATTATGAGAGAGATAATGTTAGAGAGACCAAATATTAAGGGTAATGTCAGAAATACCAAATATTAAGGGTAATGTCAAAGAGACCAAAATTTTAGATAAAATTATGTAAACTAAATGACATGTAAGTTGATGATTAGATTATTACTTAAATGATGTTGATAAACATGCTCATATCTATTAAGGACACATCATTTAGTTTGTAAATTTTGTCTACAAATTTAGTCTATCTAGCATTACCCAATTTTTAAACCAAATTTGCAAATCAATAAGAAATAAGCACGTTAATTAATATTTAAGTAATAATTTAATTATCAACCACCACATCATTTGGTTTACAAATTTGGTTTGAAATTTTGATCTCCTAGTATTACCCTTCCGCAAAAGGCAAGTAATTATTACCTTACAGTATATGCAATTTACAAAAACTAAATCTTTCCAATGCTACAACATTACTAGCTAAAGCTAGAACCCTTCATATCTCGGGATGAGGATCTTCTCCGGATTCTCTTTGTGGGGATCCTAAGAATCGTCACATTCTCGCCGTTCTTCATGCATCATGTGGTCAGTTTTCATTAGGTATTATTTGTATTTAATTTTAAATAAAAAAATCTTCGGACCACTCGATGTACGATAAACGGTTAGAATTTAAAGATTCTTAAAATCCCACAATTTAGATCCAGATGAAATCTAAATTCCATAACTCATAAGTACGAAAATTATAAAACAATCAACAAACACAACTACCAGTAACTACCAACAATACGATGGAACCCTCATTAGCAAACAGTTGTACTCAAGGCCCTTTTCTCTTCTCTAAAAAGCATGGCACCATCAGTTGTACTTCTGCATCACTCTTGTACAACATCATCATGCATCTTAGAGCAACTCCAGTGTTGTAAAGGCCCTCTAGGTCAACTTACTATTGAATCCCCC